TCTCCGAGGCCTCTTGGGGGGGCCCCTCGGAGTCTTCCTGGGGCGGTTTTGGTGCCTTCCGGGGCCGTCGGGAAGTCGTCTTGGACAGAATGCGGGCGACGAAGTACGGTCAACACGGCCCCGTGTGAGCCAGTCGCAAAAATGAAGGCCGTGCGAGGTGGGCCGAGCACGCTCTCATGCGAGCCGTGCGCGTGCAGGTGCGGAGAAGTGAAGCTTGGGCAGTGTGCGGGGCGCCAGGGCCCCTTCGGGGCCATCCTGAGGGCCTCCTGGTCGTGCGCGAGAGGGTCTCGAGCGGGGGAAGTCGCGCGCGAGCAGAGCACGTGAACGCGCGAGCCACGAAGTGAGCTCGGCACGGCACCGTGCTGAGCCACCTGTCGAATGAGGGCCTTGCGAGGTGAGCTCAGCACGTGGCCATGCGAGCCACCGGGGTAGGACAGGGGGAGAGCACGTGAACGTACGAGCCACGAAGTGAGCTCAGCACGGCACCTTGCGAGACACTCGTCAAATGAAGGCCTTGCGAGATGAGCACAGCACGTGACTATGCGAGCCACTGGGGGGGACCTTGGCCGTGACGCGCGAGAAAGAGGATCGCAGAGAAAATGATGACTATGGGGCTTATTGGTTTGGTTCCCGTGTTTCCCGTTTTCACGTTATGAAGCATTTGTGGCAATCCTGGAGCCTTATTCGGCAAGGGGGCGTGACTTGAGAGCAAGCGAACATCAAAGAAGAGCGTGCCTAGTGGGCACCTGACGTTGGCTCCCGCGTTGTCCGTTTAGCGGTGTCACGCTGTGTGGGTGCGTCTCCACCTATCCTTGGGCCTTCTTGGGCAGTCTTGGGGCCACCGTGGGGGGCCGCGGAGGGCTTCCCGAAGGCCTCTTCCAGGGTTCCTGGGGCCTCTTGGAAACCTCTTGAGGGCCTCCTGGGGGCCTCTTGGGGCCTCCTGAAGGTCTTTTAGAGCGGAGACCCTAAAATGTCGGTCTCTGCCCCTCCTCTGGAGGCTTCCTTGGGCCGATCCGGGGGCCTTCGGAGGCCGTCTTGGAGGCCCCTTGGGCCGTCTCGAGGGCGTTTTGGACTGTCGGGGCGCTCGCTTGGGGGCCTCTTAGACCGTCTTGGGGCGATCTTTGGGACCTCTTGGGCTGTCTTGGAGCGTCGGGAAGCCGGGAACGCGGGAACCCGAGAAACCTTTAAAACCCTACCGAAAACCAATGCGTTTCAACACTTGGGACTCTTTTCGAGGACCTCTCGGAGGCCTCCCGAGGCGTCCTGGGAGCTCCCTGGGCCGTCTGGACGCGATCTTGGCCGATCTGGATCGACCTGCTGGCGACTCTTGGTCCTCTTGGACAATCTTACACGGATGATCTTGGGGCCGCCCGTGCCGCACGGAAGCGCGTCTGCCGAAATGGGGCCGTCTTCCACCAGCGTTCGCTCCGTGGCCGGGGCCATGTCCCAGGGGGTACCCCCCAAAACCCCCCCAGGGGAACACACAACGGGAACCCCTCCGCAAGGTCGGGGAAAAAACAGCCCCACTTAGAACGTGGGGAGTTACATCGGATCATGCGAACTTCCCTCGCGCGTGCGCCAAAATCATTCGAACGCCCTTGCGCGCTTGCCTCTGGGGGCGGGGGCGGGGGGGGGCACGGCCCGTGTCAGATTACCCAGTGAGGGCCGCTCGCAGCCGTCGGCCGCGCTCGCACGTCGACACCCTTCCAAAACTTTCCTCCCAAGCGCGTGGACATCACAATCATCAGCGGCGTGGCCAGCATCGACGCTGTTCTTGGCCACGCCGTCGCCATCGTCATCATCGTCACCCTCATTGCTGCTATCGTCGTGTCTGCCGCTTGTCGTCGTCACCATGATACCGCGCCAACCCAAGTCACCAACACGCGCTGCAATGTCCGCGCGTCAGCGCGGCCTGCGAGACGCGTTGGGGAATCCACAGCGGTCAGTGCCACCGCGGCCGCGTCGGCCGCGCTTAACTAGCGGTCCGGTCTGAGAGCGAGCCTACGCGCGCGAGCGCGGCCGCAGCGATGCGCCAGCCATCGCCACGCAATCATCGAACTCGCCACTGCATGGGTTTTTCACGCCAAATTGCGGATGGGTGGGTGGGATCCTCGCGCGAGCAGAATGGACTTGGCAACGCATTGCGAACAAACACCACGCGCGTCACATAGATCCTCCCAGCTTGGAAGCAAGTCGAACTCCACCGCCCCCTCCGAAAGCGGGGTTATCGCATCCTCCGGGACATCGCAATTTACATACGACTCTGCCCCACCCTTCATTTAAACTGTGAATTCATACCGTCCCAGCCAGACAGGTGTCGCCCCCCCCCTCCCGCTTAACCTCCGTCAAACAAAACTACGCGCGCACTCGTTTATCGAAAACCATACATGTGCACACATAGTTTGCCAACTATTGGTGCCCGATCAACATGAGAGCGGCGTCGCGCGCGCATGTCAAAATTCGTAGAGACGTGTACAGTGCGGGCGAGGCCGCAAGAAACCCTCGCAAAAAACCCAGCCCTGAAGACCCGCACGAGAGGTGAGACTGCGGGGAGGTCCGGGGTATCCCGAACGCAGCAGCTCCTTCAATGGCCGCGGGAAGTCACCGAGCAGCGTGCCGAGCGAAGAAACCCAGGGCACCCTGACGAAAAGCATAGGGTTTCTTGATGCGCGCCCCCACTATAGGTGTTGCAAACAAAACAAATGGGGGGGCACTCTTGCGAATGGCCACGAAAACAGTATTTTCAGCAGGTTTTCTGCATGGTGCCATGTGGGCTCCCCGCGCGCACATGCCGAAATCAGTATGCAGCCTTCGCGCCCCTGCTTTGGGGCACAGCCCCTGTCAAATGATACCATGCGGGCCACTCGCGAGAGGCGGCCGCGCGCGCATGTCGAAAGCTTCTCACAATCTATCACCAACACCTAAACACCATCATCGTCGTCGGCGTGACCAACATCCGCGCCGTCATTGGCCCTGCGGTCGTCATCGTCATCATCATCGTCCTCCTCACCGCTACCATGGTCACCGTTTCCGTTTTTTTCGGCGTCGCCCTGGTATCGCGCTCGCCCAACTCACCGAATCGCACGGAAGTTCCTCGCGTCAGCGCGGCCTGCGAGACGCGCTGGGGACCCCACGCGCGACCGCGGCCGCGTCGGTCGCGTCAACCCAACTGGCCAATCTGCGCTTGAGCTTGCCGGCACTCGCATGCCCGCAACGATGCGCCAGCCAGCGCTGAGCACTCATGGCAATCGCCGCAGCATGGGATTCGCAAACCAAGTTGCGGGTGGGTAGTTGGGATGGTTGAGCGAGCAGGCAGTGGGGTCCACAATTTCATGTGGGGCAAAGTGAATCACACCGAATTGGACACACCACGTAGATTGTACCACTTCGATTGCACAATATAGATGATGCATAGGTTGCGCACCACATAGATTGCAAAGTATTGACTGGACAACGTAGATTGCACAACGGATATCGCACCACATGGATTGCACAACATCGATTGTACCACATATACTCTACGTCATACAGTGCACCACATAGATTGCCCAGTACATCTTGCACAACATAGATTGCACCAAATAAACGGCACAACATAGATTGGGCAACATGGAGTGTACCACACATGTTGCACCACCTCTTGCTTCGGATATCCTGCACGACCTGCAGAGTACCACATATATATATACACACAAATATATAGCAGACATGTACACATACACATATATATATACACATATATAACGCGTCACCTCGATTGCAGCGCCATATACATTGCACACTATAGATTGCACAATGTAGTTTGCCAGAAACACACTGTTCGGGGTCCACACTGGCTAGCATAGTCCTGGTTATACTATCTGGTGTTCTGCGAAATACCGGAGTCGAATCGGATCGGGCCGACCGGAATCGATCTTGAATCGGATCGCTCGGACCCAGACATTAGGCGCTCCATTTTTTTCGATGTGTGGACCCCCCGATGTCTGGACCACTTCCCTACGGCCAGCTTGACACCCTGAATCATTTTGTTGACGGTCCCGGGGCCCGATGAGGCCCCCCAAAAGCCGAAAACGGCCAAAACTGGCACCTCGTTATTCCGGAGCCTCTGAATGTTGGGTCGAGTCGTACCGGTCGAACATCGAAATGGGCCCCACCTGGTGCAGCACGGCTTGCCGCTGCTCCAGGCTAAGCCCGTTCCTCAGCACGGACACGAGCTGGCGCCCAGGGAAAAAGGACATCACCACCGCGAGGTCCGCCGCCACCGCGAGGGAGCGGATGCTGGCGATGACGTCAGGGGAACAAAAAACGGCATGAGCACGCAGCCAGGACATGGGAGAAGGAACCCTTGGATAAGGAAGTCAGATTCTGAAAGCTGGTGAAACATGAGATGAGGCTTGGCTGCATATCACCGCCGCCCTCTCCAGAATAGTTTGACCCTCCAGGGTCTGAATCCTCATGGGCACATCCCTGCACGAACGCCCCCACATCGATATCTCGGAGGTCCGCGCGACGATCTTGGATCCGCGCCAGGCGCTCCTTGCGGCGCCTCTGGCGCCGCCTTGGCGCGCTTCGCGCGCCAGGGAGATAGGGTGCAGCTCACGAGCGGCGATTAGATCTATTCGCGCCCTCGCGGCCAGGATCCTGGGGCGCGATCCCGCGGATACGCGGTCGCACGGATGAGTCCCGCGCGGGGCACCCGCAGAAAGACACTCCACGTCCTGCGGGATCGCGGCCCAGGGACCCGGCCAGCGAAGCCGCGGAAGGAGGAGGAGGAGGAGGAGGAGGAGGAGGAGGAGGAGCGCTTATGAACGAGCGCGGCCTGTCGGAAATTCCCGCGACTCTCTTGCATCTGCGCGGCGCGGCCCCGGGCGCGCTCCGCGCCACCGGGGAGGGGGGAGGGCGCAGCGCCGATCCAAGAGATATATCCGCACGGAGCCCGTGAGGAGTCGTGTCTGATGCCGTTTTTGTGCTCCTCTGGCTGTTGGGGTGGCACAGGCTCCTCAGGATGTTGAACTCGTGCAGCAAGGCCGCGCGCACTGCGGGATTGCAGGTGGTTCCTGGGGGCACCGACAGGTGCCGATGCCGCTGCTACTCGCACCTCCCCGGGAGAGCGTTCGGGCCAGGATGGCGTGGCGAATGCAGCCGCAGCGGCGAGAGCCTTCCAAAGGCCCCCAAAGGAGAAATCGAGTGAGGAGTGTCCTGCTTCGTTTCGTATTTCTTTATGCGTTTGACACTGTGCCGCTTTCAGGCGCATTATGCCGGTTCCCGTGTTGGCCGTTTAAAACGGACAGCACGGGAATCAGCATTATGCACCCTATAGGCATCCCCTCCTCTGTTTTCCTCTTCCTCGCAAGTCATGCCCACTTGTCCTCCAAGGTTGGAGTTCGTGGCTACATCAGGTTGAAGGTTTTTCGGGTTCCCGCGTTCTCGGCTTCCCGACGCTCCAAGACAGCCCAAGAGGTCCCAAAGATCGCCCCAAGACGGTCTAAGAGGCACTCAAGAGAGCGCCCTAACAGTCAAATACGCCCCCAAGACGACCCAAGAGGCCTCCAAGACAGCCTCCGAACGCCCCAGGAACGCCCCAAGAAGACCTCCAGAGAGGGGGCAGGGACCGACATTCTAGGCCCTCGGTCCACGAACCCACAGGAGGAGCCTAGAGGCCCCAAGGAGGCCCCCAAGATCGCGTCCAGACGGCCCAGGGAGTCCCCAGGACGCCTCGGGAGGCTTCCGAGAGGCCCCCCAAAAGAGCCCCGCCTTTTCGGCTTCCCGACGCTCCAAGACGGCCCAAGAGGCCCTACACGTATCGCCCCAACACGGTCTACGAGCCGCCCCCAAGAGAGCGCACAGACGGCCCAAGACGCATCCAAGACGGCCCAAGAGGCCTCCAAGACGGCTTAAGAACGCCCCAGAAACGCCCCAACAGGGGCCTCAGAGGGGGAGCGTGGACCGGCATTGTGGGTTCTCCGCCCAAAAACGCGCCAGGAGGCCCCAAGAGGCCCCCAAGAGGCCCGAAGAAGCTTCCAAGAGGTCCCCAGGAAGCCCCCAGAGACCCCCAAGAGGGCCCCAACACTGCTTAAGACGGCCCCGAGATGGTCGTCGGACACGCCCCAGGGGGCCCGAAGGCTGCCCAACAGGGCTCCAGGATGGTCGGAGACGCCCCGACGAAGTAGCACGGCGCGACACTGTGCCACTTTAAAGCGCATTACACGCCGGTCGGAAACAGTAGGTAAAAACGTGAAGTAGGAAGGCGTTGGAAGTAGATTGGGCTTCCACCCGCCCCCTGAAGAGGAGGGAAGAAGGAAAACCACTCGACTCTTGAAGTAGGAAGGCGCCTAAAGTAGATTAGGATTTGGGCATCCAAAAATACCTACTTTCAACGACCGGCGTGTATGATGGTTCTCGTGCTGGCCGTTTAACGCCGTGCTACTTTGTCGGGGCGTCTCCGACCATCCTGAAGCCCTGTTGGGCAGCCATCGGGCCCTGGGGCGTCTCCGACGACCATCTCGGGGCCGTCTTAAGCAGTTTTGGGGCCCTCTTGGGGAGTCTCTGGGGGCTTCCTGGGGACCTCTTGGAAGCTTCTTCGGGCCTCTTGGGGCGTCTCCGACGACCATCTCGGGGCCGGCAGAAGCAATTTTTGGGGCCCTCTTAGGGGGTCTCTGGGGGCTCCCTGGGGACCTCTTGGAAGCTTGTCGGGGCCTCTTGGGGCCTCCTGGCGCGTTTTTGGGCGGAGAGCCCACAATGCCGGTCCGCGCTCCCCCTCTGAGGCCCCTGTTGGAGCGTTTGTGGGGCTTTCGTAAGCCGTCTTAGAGGCCGCTTGGGCCGTCTCGGATGCGTCTTGGGCCGTCTGTGCGCTCCCTTGGGGGCGGCTCGTAGACCGTGTTGGGGCGATCTGTAGGGCTTGGGCCATCTTGGAGCGTCGGGAAGCCGAAAAGGTGGCACCGTCTTCCGCAGGCGTGCGCTACGTGGCCGGGGAGTGTCCCGGGGGGTACCCCCCCATACCCCCCCAAGGGAACACTAAACGGGAACCCCTCCGCAAGGTCGGGAGGGAGAGAATACAAAATCGACGGGAGCGAAAGTCCCCCCTCCCTTGACACGGCGAAGAACTTACAACATCGCGAAAAATCGCGGCCGGAGCCCTAGAGCCCACCGATCTGCTGCACTTTTCGAACGGGGTCGATCTGTGGTCTGGACCCGAGAACCTGGCCGAAAACGCCCAGCGCGACAAAAATGGCAACGCCGGGATCTCAGGGACGGGGCAAGAAGAGCGGCATCGGTATCGGTATCGGTACCTGGACATGCGACGTTCTGATTTTTCAATGTGCGGTCCTAAGAGGTCCCGATCCTTTCCCAGGGACCGGTTTTTCATCCTGGGTCAGTTTCTGACGGTCCCGGGGCCCGGTGAGGGCCCCGAGAGGCCGAAGATGGCCAAACAACTCCCGTCGTGCTTTTTCTTGGCGACGCGATCATGTCTGGGTGCTCTTCCCCCTCGGAGCTCCCTTGTCCGAGATCCGCTTGACCGCGACGTGGTCCCGCCCGTTCGTAGCGGACACCACCTCGAAGTGGGTGCCATGGCTCGCGCCGAGCACCTTTGTGGGGCCATGCCGGGGGGGATCACCAACCTCCAGGGGGAGGGGGAGGAGGAGGAGGAGGAGGAGGAGGAGGAGGAGGAGGAGGAGGAGGAGGAGGACGAGGAGGAGGAGGAGGAGGAGGAGAAGGAGGAGGAGGAGGAGGAGGAGCAGGAGGAGGAAGAGGAGGAGGAGGAAGGGGAGGAGGGGGAGGCGCACTTTTTTTAGGAAGTGCCACGTGCTCGTGTGGAAAAGGGGCACCCAGCGGCACTCCAGAGCCTTCCAAAATGACCGCAGCCGTTCAGAAACCTCCTCGAGCCTCGGACCCAAAACCTCGATGTCCAGAAGGAACTGGCCTACCCTTCTAATGGTGACACCCCTGCCCTGAGATCCGACGCTGCGGAAAAATGCGCGCTCGCGGAAATATCACGACCTGAAGCCGAAACTTGGGTCGGGCATGTCCTCCTACAGGCGGATTATAGACGACAAATTAAACATAGTCCAAGAAAATGAGAACTAGCAGCAATAATTGGAACATCGTCCCTGGACCATTTGTACTATTTTTGGCAACTGCTCCTGTAGAGGGACAGGACCGACTCAAGCCTAAACCCAATATTTATGCATCTCTGTTCGCAACAGCTCGTTCTGTGCTGGCCCCGGAACCTGACTTGGCGGCGGCACAGAGGGGGCATGGGGGAAGGGGAGCGGTTTTTCAGAAGGAGGCTGCTTCATAGAAGGCGCTGGCCCGACATCCAATAGAGGAGGCCCGCGCCTTCTAAGAAGCAGGCGTGCTTCCCAGAAGTGTTCGTCCCTACCCCTTCCCCCCTTTGCGCGCCCCATACTGAAGTGACCGAAGCTGGGCGAAGACGCCCGAGATGACAACATGGCTTAGCGCGGGGGAGCGGGCCCCGAGGGAAACAGGCCCTGGGCCCTGGGGCCTTCTCCGTGGAGGAAACTCTTCACCCCGGGTCGTTTTCAGACGGTCCCAGGGCCCGTGGATGGCCCGGGGAGTCCAACATCGGCGAAACACCTCGGGACCCGTTTCCTTCAAGACCACCTGACCCGAACAAGCCCAAAACAAAACCGATAAGTCGGAGAAGCGATCGAACTATATCGGATCGACAGAATTGCCAGGCGAGTCGGGAACAATCGAACCGGCAGAAGTCGGCAGGCTCGTACTCCTCCATTGAGACATCGGAATCCAAACGTCGGACGCCGTCGAAATTCAATCGCATGCGATCGGAAGGGGTCGAAATAAGTTCTGATTCCCCCATGGCGAACGGCGGCGCCCGGATCTCGGGGGGGGGCGGGGTGGGCGCCAGCCAGCGGCGCCCTGCCGAAGTGGAAGCCCTCGAACAACAGCAGCTGCGCGCAGTTGGCCGCGGGGGGGCCCTCGCGGTCTCTCTCTGTCTGGGCGAGGGGAGAGGGGCAGCGAAGTTTGGCGGCGCGGACAAAAAATGGGGGAGGCAAAGAGGAAAAGAGAGGGGGAGGAGGAGGGGGAGAAGGAGGAGGAGGAGGAATAATCGGAGGAGGAGGAGGAGGAGGAGGAGGAGGAGGAGGAGGAGGAAGAGAACGAGGAGGAGGAGAACGAGGAGGGGAGGAGGAGGAGGAGGAGGGAGGAGGAGGAGGAGGAGGAGGAGGAGGAGGGGGAGGGGGAGGGTAGGGGGAGGAATAGGAGGAGGATGAGGACGAGGACGAGGACGAGGACGAGGAGGAGGAGGAGGAGGAGGAGGAGGAGGACGGGGAGATGGGCGCCCACGACCTGGAGGCGGCCAGTCGCGCAGGCCGCCACCGCCCGCCGCGCACAGGCACGGCGCCCTCGGCCTCAGAAGAATAAGTACATGGAGCAGACGCCGAGGAACACGACGTTGCGCGGACGGGTGGGGGGGCGGCCCCCGCACCGCACGCGGCCCAGGGCCCCTACCGCCTCCCGCGGCCGCCCCCCCCGCGCCGCCCCGGAGCGCCGGCCGGCGGCGCGCGGCGGCTCGCCGTCGATGCTCTCCCACGCCTCCGCGAGGCGGGAGATGGCCATCAGCAGCTCCTCGGGGTCCTGCGGCGGCGACACCGCCTCCTCGGGGTCCTGCGGCGGCGACACCGCCTCGGAGAAACCGAAGCGGCGGGAGAGTTCCTTGAAGCGCCCGCGGGCCTCCACCAGCTCCGCCTCCGAAGGGGCCTCCGCCGCCGCGGCCGCCGCAGGCGCCAGCGCAGCATCGGCCCACTCGCTGCCACGAGGGGGCCAGACCGCCACGGCAGGCCGCCCACCGTCAGCCCACGCATCGTCGATCAGGTCCTCGTCCATCTCGTCGTCGCCGTCGGAAGGGGGCCCGGAGCGCCGCCCCAGGCGCCTGCGCGAGCTCAGGGCCCGCGCGCGCGCCGCCAGCGGCCGCCGTCGCGCCCACTTCCACGGCGAGGGGGGAAACTGCGCCCACTCCAGGGCGACCAGCTTCAGCAGCACCAGGCTCCGCTCCACGCGCCTCCGCCCGCCGCGCCGAGAGGCGCTGGCGGCGGCGGCGGCGCTCCGCCTTGGCGGCCGAACTGGCACACTGGGGTGCGTCAGCCTGCTCGGCGCTCTCGGCGCGGGCAAGTGGCGGCGTCGCCGTCGGCGAGGTCCGCGCCCGAAACGCGACCGCCGCAACAGCACCCGCCACCGCAGCCACCGTGCGCCGCGGCGCCTTGGCCTCCACGGCCGCGGTCACGGCGGCCGCCAGCAAAGCGACGCCGTCCTCCGCAGCCGTCGGGGCCCCTCTAAGCCGTGCCATCCCGCGCGGGCGGACGGCCACTGCCAGTGCGATCGCTTGAGCCAAAATGGCTTGAGCCAAAATGGCTACGGAGAGGCGGAGATGGAGGAGGGGGGGAACGGGAGGAGGAGGAAGAGGAGAAGGACCACTGTAAACCCAAGAGGTATCAACGATTAAACCATCCCTCCAAGCTCCCTCTTCACAAGCCCCTACAAGGGTTCATTTACAATGAGGGAGCTGCCTCGTTGGAAGACACCCGTTTGAAGACCCTGAAGCATGCCAAAACATTATTCCCTGGACTCCAAACGCCACGGATCAATATGACTGTTGCGGCTTGACGGTCCTGAACAATGCCAGAACGCAATACTTGGGACTTCAACACCGCGAATCAACGCAACTGTTGCGCCCTTGTAACCCTGAACCTCTCCAAAATACCATTTGTGGTACGATGGCCATGTGAATCCGTGAAAACTCTTGCAATAACCTGATGTAGCCACGAACCCCGACCTTGGAGGACAAATGGGCATGACTTGCGAGGAAGAGGATAACGAATAATAATGTGCCTATAAGGTGCATCATGCTGATTCCCGTGCTGTTCGTTTGACACTGTGCCGCGTTAAGGTGCATTATGCTGGTTCCCGCGTTGTCCGTTTAACGCCGTGCTACTTTGTCGGGGCGTCTCCGACCATCTTGGTGCCCTGTTGGGCAGCCTTCAGGCCCAGGGGCGTGTCCGACGACCATCTCGGGGCCGTCTTAAGCATTTTGGGGGCCCTCTTGGGTCTCTGGGGGCTTCCTGGGGACCTCTTGGAAGCTTCTTCGGGCCTCTTGGGGGCCTCTTGGGGCCTCCTGGCGCGTTTTTGGGCGGAGAACCCAAAATGCTGGTCCGCGCTCCCCCTCTGAGGCCCCTCTTGGGGCGTTTCTGGGGCTTGCTTAAGCTGTCTTGGAGGCCTCTTGGGCCGTCTTGGATGCGTCTTGGGCCGTCTGTGCGCTCTCTTGGGGGCGGCTCGTAGGCCGTATTGGGGCGATGTGTAGGGCCTCTTGGACCGTCTTGGAGCGTCGGGAAGCCGAAACAGCGAAAACTCTAAAAACCTTAGAAAACCTCCGGCAAACCAATGACATTTGACTATTGTAGCTCTTTTGAAGGCCTCTCGGAAGGCTCCCGAGGCGTCCTGGGAACTCCCTGGGCCGTGTGGACGCAATTTTGGGGGGCTCCTTGGGGCCTCGAGGCGCTTCCTGGTTTTTCTTGTGGGCGGAAGGCCTCGAATGTCGGTCCCTGCCCCCCCTCTGGAGGTCTTCTTGCGGCGTTCCTGGGGCGTTCGGAGGCCGTCTTGGAGGCCTCTTAGGCCGTCTTGGGGGCGCATTTGGCTGTTAGGGCGCTCTCTTGAGTGCCTCTTAAACCGTTTTGGGGCGATCTTTGGGACCTCTTGGGCTGTCTTGCAGCGTCGGAAAGCCGAGAACGCGGGAACCCGAAAAACCTTCAAATACCCACCGAAACACATATGAATGTTGACACTTGGGGCTCTCTTGGAGGACCTCTCTCGGAGGCTCCCCGAGGCGTCCTGGAAACTCCCTGGGCCGTCTGGACGCGATCCTGGGGGCCTCCTGGGGGCCTCTTGGGGCCTCCTGGCGGTCTTTTTGGGCGGAGAGCCTGACATGTTGGTCCCTGCCTCTCCTCTGGAGGTCTTCTTGGCGCGTTCCTGGGGCCTTCGGAGGCCGTCTTGGAGGCCTCTTGGGCCGTCTTGAGAGCGTCTTGGACTGTCTGGGCGCTCTCTTGGAGGCCTCTTGGACCGTCTTGGGGCGATCTTTGGGACCTCTTGGGCTGCCTTGGAGCGTCGGGAAGCCGAAAACGCGGGAACCCGAGACACCTTGAAAAGCCAGCAAAAAACAACTACTTTTGACACTTGGGGCTCTCTTGGAGAGCCTCTCGGAAGCCCCCCGAGTCGTCCTGGGAGCTCCCTGGGCCGTCTGGACGCGATCTTGGACGGCCTGGATCGACCTCCTGGCGACTCTTGGTCCTCTTGGGCCATCTTACGTATCATCTTAGGGCCGCCCGTGCCGCACGGAAGCGCGTCTGCCGAAATGGGGCCGTTTTCCGCCGTCTTCCGCCGGCGTGCGCTCCGTGGCCCCGGGGGGGTCCCGGGGGGTACCCCCCCAGACCCCCCCAAAGGAACACTGAACGGGAACCCCTCCGCAAGGTCGGGGAAAACAGGAAAGGGGCGCGGCGCTAAAGGGAGAACCACATGATGCAAACGAACCACCCTCAGTCCGTGAAACTCTTGCGAATGCTGAAATGGAATGTGCGCGGCGCTAAGGCGAGAACCATATGTTTGAAAACCACCCGCCCTCAGTCCGTGAAGCTCTTGCGAATGTTTAGAACAAAGGTGCGCGGCGCTGAAGCGAGAGCCATATGTTGAGAACCACCCGCCGTCCATCTGTGAAGCTGTTGCCTTTTTGTTCAAATCCCACCAGCCCTTTGGGCGTGAGTGGTTTAGAGAGCCCTCTCTGTCCTCAACCCCCCTTCTTCCCCTTCGGGGAGGGGTTTACCCCTCCCCCTACCCCCTCCCCTGGACCTGGAGAGGGCGGGCCGAGTGGTGGCAAGGGGGTCTTGTTCGACTCCTGGGAGGGCCAAAAAACGACGACCCTCACAAGGATTCTGGCCCCGACGGGGGGACGCAGTTTGGCCCCTCTGCTCTTCTTGGAAGCCAAAATCATTGATTTTACTACGGTTTTGGCCCCGTTTGGGCGTCCTGAGGGGGCCGCGCTCATCTTCCTTCATAGCAAAATCATTGATTTTACGCAGGTTTTGGGCTCATTTTGTCCTTTTCAGGGGGCAGCCCTCATCTGCGCTTCTGAGGAGGTCGCACGAGGCCCCAAGATGGCCCCAAGAGGCCCCCAGGACGCTCCCAAGAGGCCTCCAAGAGGCCCCCCGGACGCTCCCAAGCGGCCCCAAGAGGCCCCCAAGAGGCCCCCAAGAGGCCCCCAAGAGGCCTCCAGAGGCCCCAAGAGGCCCCCAAGAGGCTCCCCAGAGGCCCCCAAGAGGCCCCCAAGAGGCCCCAAGAGGCTCCAAGAGGCCCCCAAGAGGCCCCACGAGGAGCCCGAACGACTCACACCAGGACGAGGGGCCCGAACGACTCACACCACGAAGAGCCCGAACGACTCACACCACAAGGACGGGCCCGAACGACTTACACCAGGACGTGGCGCCAGAACGACTCACACCACGAGGAGCCCGAACGACTCACACCACGACGCGGGCCCCGAACGACTCACACTACTACTACTTCTACCTCTACTATTACTACTTCTACGCATGGTGCTACGGCCTGAAAACCACGACTGTCGGCATGCTTCGCAAGAGTTGCTGTTGTGAGATGGGCTGGTGGGGATACGCGAAGCGAAAAAGAATTCAGAATCATATGGTGAGGAAATCTCCGGCGAAACGCCAGGCCCGCCCTTGGGACAGGGAGAAATTACTTTTAAGGAAAAGGAATGGAGGAGGAGAAGGAGGAGGAGGAGGAGGAGGGGGAGGAGGAGGAGGAGGGGGAAGAGGAGGAGGAAGAGGAGGAGGAGGAGGAAGAGGAAAAGAAGGAGGATAGGCACCAAGGGCTTGCGGCTCGCACCAGGGGGTAGGGGTAGTTGGAGGGGCTTCTCAGAAGGTCAGGAGGCAACTGC